CCCCCCCCCCCCCCCCAACCCCCCCAGGGCCTGGCTGGCGGTCCACGGCCCCCTGCTGGCAGGCGCCGCGACGCAGCGCCAGCTCTGGGACTCGGCCACGGCGGCGGTGTCCCCCGAGGCGCCCACCCCGCTGTCGCCGCTGCGCTCCGGCCTGGAAAGCGCGGCCAGCGACGCGGCGGCGGCCGCGGCGGCGGCCGCCGCCGCCCAGCTCCGCGCCGCCTCGGACGTGGCGGCTGCGTACGCGCTGCGCGCTGCAGCCGCGCCGCTGGAGCCCGACGTGTTCCGCGTCACGCTGCGCGCGCTGCGCGGCGACGTGCACGTGCCGGTGCCCGACCGCGCCGCGTCGCTGGAGCGCCTGCGTGCGCTGGACCCGGGGAGCGCGGGCGTGGCCTTTGCGTCCGTGCATGCTTTCCACCCGGACCTGGACGTGGAGGGGCTGGAGCTCCATGTCGCGGCCTGCAGCCAGGTATGGGCACGGTGCGGGGTGGCGGGAATGGCTTCGAACGCCACGGGCCCCGCCTGATGAGTCGAGGCAGTGACGGAGGGTGGGTTGAACTTTCGTCCCGCCCCCCGGTAGCTCGTCTGGTCCCATTCTATCCCCCCCCCCTTGGCCCCTTATCTGCAGCCATTCGTGGCACTGGACAGCCTGGCGGTGTCCGGGCCGATGCTGTTGGCCAAGCAGGCCACAGCAAAGCCGGAGACACGGCCACGCCCCTGGCAGTGCGGGGCGCACGCCGCCACCATCCTCGACGTCAGCGTCAAGGGCACAAAGTGCGACTTGGCGTTGCTGGGTTCAGGGCGGGAGAGGGTGAACGGTGTGCACGTATGCAGCCAGAACCTGCGCATCATGCCCCGAGAACCGGCAGCAGCCATGGCCTGTGTGTCTTGCCCCTCGACTGGGGACCCCTCCTGCCCACCGCCCACTGCCCAACCGCCCACGCATCGCAGGGCGCCCGTCAAGGTGTACACCGACGCGCTGCTGCAGGGATCGGGCCTGCAGATCTTGCACGGCCCCGGCATGGAACCTGCGCTGGCCATGATGGCGCTGGCGGGCAAGCGCCTGGCGCCCAGCGACCCGGACAAGTCCCTCCCACGCCCGCCGCCCATCCCCTGGTGGGACGACCTGCGCTACATGTGGCGCGGGCGCGCAGGTCTGGAGGTCGCGGGCCTGCGCCTGACCCTGGCGGCCGACCGCCGCGCCGGCCCGGGCCCGGACTCGGCACGGCTGGTCTTGGCCGCCCACCGCGTCGGCGCTGAGCTGGCGGAGGGCGTGGCGGAGCTGAGGCTGGCGGGCCTGGCCGTGGACGCCTTTGAGGCGGTGGGACTGGACGGCCCCGCCGGCGGCTTGCTGCGCCTGCCCATGCTGGCCGTGCCGGCGCTGACGCTGCGCCTGGAGGCGGGGTGGCGGCTGCCCGGCGGCCGTACCCCCCGGCAGCACCACCTCTTCCCCCCGACCCCGCCCCTGGACGGCGTCCAGGGGCCCCGCCTGCCGGGTGAACTGTACAAGTCCGAGGCCCTGGACCTGGGCATCACCGCCGACCTGGGCGGCAGCGCTGCGCAGAGCGCCGTGGTCTACCTCGGCGATCACCAGGTTGGTTGTTTTGGGGGGCGTGGGATGATCTTCTATGGGCGATTGGGAGGGGGTGGTTGTAAACACAGATGCATTCATTTCCATCAAGGGGTGAGGAATGCTCACCAGATACCATGGTACAAGCCAGGAGGCGTCCACTATGCGAGTTGGGGTCCGAGGAGGAACTCCGGGGTCGCAGCATGCCCGTGCTGGACCAACCCCAGACCGCAGACAACTGAAGGCCAGTGGGCGACTGACGCACCTGCATCCCCCTCTCCCACCCCCCTCCCCACACTCAGATCCAGTTCCTGAGGACCTGGATCGCGCTGTTGAGAATGCCAGACCCTGCCGTCCGCGCCGTGGTCCGGCGCGGCACTTTCTTCGTGCGCAAGCCCAAGGGCCTGCCTCCCAAGAAGAACCTGCCCAAGCTGCTGCGGGAGGTGAGAGGGTTTGGCTGGTCGATGTCCTGTCGATTGCCTTGGTTCCATGTCCAAACACAAACTTAACAGGCCCGCCTAGCTCGCAATTTCCAAACCAATGGCACTGTCCTCCACCAGCATGCGTCTGCCACATCACCCGTGCACAGATGAAGATCCAGGTGTCGGCCTCCCCGCTGGAAATCGTGCACTTCACCTGCGACGCCACCGACCCCTCCCACAACGTCTGCATCTCGGCGGTGGGGGTGGAGTTTGGCGCGAGCTGGCTCTTCAACCAGCCCATTCCCTCCTTCCTCAAGCCACCGCCCCACGCCGCGAAAAGGTGAGTTGTGGGGGCTCGATTGTGTGGTGTCATGGGGATGCAGCAAACCCGGTGTTGCACGTGCTATCAAGTCCACCCCCTCACCGCCCCCTCCCGGCGCCGCGCAGGCCCCCCCCCACGCGCACGATCAGCCGCGATTTCCTGGTGACGGCGCGTGACGTGGGTGTGCGCCGCGGCGGCGACCCGGCTCCTCCTGGGGATGGCAAGGCCGCCTTGGAGGGCCTGGGGGGCTCGCCGTCCACCTCACTCGAGCCCAAGATCGCGCTGCTGGGGCCCATAGGAACCACTGCAGCGGCCTCCGCCCTGGACGACTCACCCGCCGCCGCCGCCGCGGCCAGCACCAGCCGCCTGCTCTCCTCCTCGCTGCTGCGCGTGGAGCGCGCGCCGCCCCCCGCCTCGCCCGAGTCGCCCTCCTTCCAGACCTCCCCTTTCTCCGCCGACAGTCTGGGGCGGGGGCAGGGCGGCGACGACCCCGGCGGCGGCGGCGGCGGCGGCAGGGGGTCCCTGGCGGACGTCCTTGACCCGCACTCCACCCGGCCCCTCCTCGTCCACGTCAGCGACGCCAAGCTGCTGATTGACGGTGCGGCGCGGGACGCTCTGTGGGGCGCCATCGAGCACCTGGTGGTCGCCTTCACCACCAGCCCGGCCGCCGCGCGGCGCGCGCAGCACAAGGCGTGCATGGTGAGGCAGATCATATTGTTCTTTTTGTTTCGGGGGGGAGGTCCTGTCGTGTTGGCTGGGATTGGGGGACAGGCGTGCAGCCGTGGGTTGGGTGTGAAGAGGAGGAGGGGAAGTCATGGGCAATGGGCGCAGGGCGGTGGAGCGCCCGCGAGTGTCGTGCCGGCGGGGTGCATTGATTCGCCACCACTCCTGCCAACCATCGCTTGCAGCCCTGCTCAAGAAAACCTACGAATCTAACCCTCTCACACATCCTCCACCCCCCAATCACTGTGGCAGAGCGCGGCGCAGACGCCGGCCGCCAGCATGGCGTCGCCCGGATCCTGGGCCTCCCCCTGCCCCGGCTCCAGCCTGCCGCGGCGCTCGGCGGCCGGGGGGGTTTCCCAGGGCATCATGTCGCCCTCACAGTCCATTCCGGATGGCAGGAACGAGCTTCTTGACCTGCTCCTGCAGCAGGGCGCGGAGGAGGAGGCGGCGGAGGAGGAGGTGGGGGACAGTGGCAGCGAGTCCTCGGACGACGATGTACGTGTGCTCGCGGGGAAGGGGTGTGGGGGTGGGATTGTGTATTTGGACACGGCAGTACAACGGGCGGTCCAGTGAGACGCCGACCTGCGCTGCGACTCTGCACAAAAGACATTCCTCCGCGTCCTTGCATATGACCCGCCTTCTCCCGAGTGCACTGTCCCACACCCACCCCCCCGAAGGCGCCCATGACGACGCCGCTGGACGATGCCAACGCAAAGCTGCGCTACTCTGTGGAGGTCGTCAACCTGCAGATCAACCTGGAGGCCCAGCAAGCACAGGTGTGTGTGGCTTTTGGGGAGGGAAGGTGGCTCGCCTACTGTGCATGTTGAGCTGTTGAAGGGTCTGTGCGCACCCTGAGAGGACTATGCGTGTTTCCGCTGGAGGGTAGCCTCTGCTAATCTGGGAACCACTGGCTGACCTGTGAGGATTCTGCACTTGCCTCGGCACGAAATTATCTGGAACTTACACCCAACCCCCCAAAACGCTTCCCCATTCTTCCTTCCTCAACCCAGGGCCGATTCCTGCTGGCGGCGGAGTCGGGGCTGCTGGAGGGCCTGACCCTGCCCCACAACACGATGAGCATCACCAAGCTGACCCTGGACCAGGTGCAGGCGTATGTCTCCGCCACGTCGGTCGACCCCGGCGCGACGCCCGCCTGGCTGGACACGCACGGCGGCCGCTTCGCGCCGGGCGCGGAGCCCTCGCTGCGCCGGGTGTTCAACCCCATCCACATCGGCCTGCGCCACTCGCGCGTGACCCCGGGCGCGCACGCCGGCGGCGGGGGCGCGGCAAGCGCGCCGTCCCGCGTCACGCCGGGCCCCCGTTGCGGCGAGGGCGGCGCCCACCGCCGCACCTCCACCGCCCCCGGCTGGGGCCCCGCCAGCTTCACGGGCGCGGGGCCGCGCGGGGAGGAGCTGCTGCTCAGCGTTCCCCAGATCGTGGCTACCATGGAGGGCACGGAGTTCGAGGTCCTGGTGGAGGTGGTGGAGATGCTGCTCAGCCAGGGGCCTGGCGTGGACACCGTCGGCGAGGAGGGGTCCCTGCTCGCGGCAGACTGTGCCGGGGACGAGGTGTGTGTTCATGGTTTTCTGGGGAGTAGGGGTGGATGGGCCCGAAAAGTGATCTGAGCAACCCCCCTGATGGTGAAATGCCGCCCTGACGCCCCCTGTCCAACCACCCCATCACCCCTGGCCAGGTGGAGGACGCGCGGCAGAGCTACGCCCTCCTCCGCCGCGAGCTGGCCGAGGCCCGGGCGCTGACGGTGGAGGTGAGGAAAGCGTGAATGGGGCTGGGGATTTTGGTCACCCGTGTCAGTTCTCCAGTGTGCACGTGGGTGTTCCCTGCCCATCCTGCAGTCAGGCCCCTATTTAGAGATGGAGAACTTCCACTCGCCCCGCCCCACAGCAACGCCGCTGGCTGGGGCTGCAGCTGTTGCGACTGGATCGGAGCGGCGCGCTGTCGCCTCCCGACTCGGCCGGCCTCGGCTTGCCACTTCAGGTCGCCGCCCTGGAGCTGCACGCCTTTGCCGGCGGGGCAGCGCAGGGCGCGGCGTCGTCGGCCGCCGGCGCCGGCGCCCCCGCCGCCTTCGACCTGGGCCTGGGCCCGCTGGCCGACCCCGACGCCGAGCTGGACGGGGCGGTGCGCGCCTACCTGTACTCCCCGCGCGCTCACGCGGTGCCCGCGCAGGGCCTGCTGCTGTGCTGGGCCGAGGAGCAGGAAGAAAGGGCAGCCACCACGCTCGAAGCTGCCCGCTCCAGCCTCCAGGACCTCAAGGTGCAGCGCATGTGGGATGAGGAGGGTGAGGGTTAGTATATATTATGAGCGGAAGGCACGCCAGGATGCCAGTTGTAAATCTCGGGGCGGCATCCACCCCAGGAATCAAATGGCCATCATACCTTTCAGTCATGCTTTGTCCCCCCCCCAAATCCCACACACTCACGCAGGCCGAGGCACGCAAGCGGCAGCAGAACCGGTTCGCGTCGCGGCTGCGCCTGCAGGTGGACCGCGTGGTGTGGCAGCTCTGCTCCCCCGGCCGCGAGCCCTTCGTCCAGGCCTCCATCCGGCGCCTGTGCCTGGACCGCCTGCGCAACCGCGACCACTCCGGCTCCTTCAAGTTTGTCATCCACCGCATCGAGGTGCTGGATGCGCTGGGCACGCTGGAGCCCGCCCCCGGCGTCGGCGCGGGCGTCATCCTGTCGGTCTGGAACCCTGACGCCTCCTGGGCGCGTGACGACGTGCTCCGCCTCGTGGCCACGCTGGGCGTGCCCACCAAGGCGAGGCGGGGTGGTGATGGAGAGGGAGGCGGGGGGGTGGGGGAGGGATATGAGTGGATTTCAGAATTATCGTACAGATACCCGTTGGGAAAGCCCCCTTGTTGCCCAGACTGCCTGATGGGCACCTCCCACTCGTTTCACCCCAATTGCTTACCTAAATTCCTTCCTGTCCTCCTGCTTCACAGAACCACACCGTGTATGAGCACGTGGATGCCTCGCTCCACCCTCTGGCGGTGCACCTTACCGAGTCCATTGCTGTGGCCTTCTGGGTGGGTGGTGGGGCCGAGGGGGGGGAGGGGTGGTCGGTGAAGGGAGAAGGAGGGGTCAGTGAGAGCCATCGGTGTGTCGGAGGGCCGCAGGCGATCGGGTGTTGGATGGGCAGGTCCCCTAGGGTGTGGTCCCTGCTCGGGCTCTGGGGGTCAGGCAGGTATCCGTTCTGGGCTTCTGAGAATGGGCATGGTCCCACACCATGCTGCTGGACTGTGTTTGAGGTTGCGCGAGTACATTGGGGCGCGCATGGTTGACGTGGTCCACCCTGTCGCTTCCATCCGACCATGCACACCGGCTTGCACCAGCCAGACACTCACACCCCCAATCCACCTCTCATCAGGAGTACTTCTTCCCCAAGGAGCCGGATGCAGCCAAGCGGCAGGCAGCCTTCGCCCAGTCCTTCAAGCCCGCGCCGTCCAGGAAGGGGCACCGGCGCGCCCGCACCGCCCTTCCCAGTGAAGCTGAGGTGTGTGGGCTCCCAGGGTGGGGGCGCTCAGGGGTCGGTGATGCTCTTGCTTGTACGAGGAATGGGCAAGGAACCTTGTTGACGAAAGAATGGAAGGGTCTCACCGGTGCCACGGCCGCTGAGTCTCTGGCTGGACTGCTGTGGGCGTGCGTGCCACCTCCAGAGCGCCACTGCAGCGGTGGCGATCCGCCCCTTCCTGCCCCTTTGGTCCCTGCCCTCTCCAGGGTGGGAGCCTGGCGGGGGAGCTGTCGCATGGCGAGGGATCCGGGTCCTTCACGCCGCCGCCCCTAGGTGTGAGGGGATGCCTGCTTGTGGGCGATGTGGCTCCTGGTGTCACCATCGGCGTCCCTTGGGAGTCACCCTGTGGCTTGGCTGATGCACCTGGCTCCCTGTTGTTGCTGCACCCCGTGCAAGGGGTGCACTCTGCTCCTGCCAGATCCGGCCACCTGGGGTGCAGCCTCGCAGTGGCACAAGGAGCTCATCTCTCTGTGCGCCCCCCCCGGCCTCCTTCCGCCCCCTGGCCTCCCACGGCCCCACGATCCCCAACCCCTTTCCCCCCTCTCCACAGGGGCTTGCGCCACGCCGCGCTCGGCGCCCAGCAAGCTGCACCGCCGCGGCACCTCCGAGGGCCAGGGCTCGCTGAGCAGGCAAGGCAGCGCCTCCCACGATCTCACCATCTCCCCCGAGAACTCGGTGGGCGGCGCGGGGTCGCCCCTCTTCGGCTCTGGCGGCCGACGCGGCGTCAGGCAGGCCTCCATGTCGGCGGTGGTGCGCACCTCGCGCCGCTACCTGCGCCGCATGGGCGGCGTGGGCGGGGAGGGGAGCAAGGTGAGGGCCGATGGGAGGCTTGAGGCCTGGTCTGGAGCGGCTGATGCCGCGGCAGGGGTCAGAGCAGGGACTGTACGGAGCCCATGGCTGGGACACTGGCTGCGCAACGTCCCTTCCCAGATGGGCTGCAGCCGTCGCAAGGCTGTCCACCTGCTTGTCACCCGCCAGCAACCCGGACTGAATTCTCATCATGTGCCATGCACCCACGCCCTTCCCCACAGAGCGCGCGCCGGCCCTCCACAGCAGCCGCCCGGAAGCCGAGGTTCAAGCACTTCCGGACCAACCGCATGCATTGCCGGGTCACCTACGCCGGGTACCCCCTGTGAGTGTGACCTGGTGCTCGGGAATGACGAGCAGCCAATGCTCTTCAGGGGGCGCACGGGGCTGCACTTTGCACCAATACAATTGCATCGACCACCCTTGCCAGGCCGGCCTCCTCGCCGCGGGCCGGAGCCACCACCCGCGCCTGCCCACTCCCGCCACCCACACACTCACACATCCCCGGCCTCACCTGCAGGACATTCACCGACCTGAAACTGGTGCTGGACAACCGCACCTATGAGAACTTTGAGGGCGGGTGGCGGGACCTGCTGGCGCGCATCAAGTGGGACACAGTGAAGAGCGTGGCCAAGTCGGTCACGGGGCTCCAGGGCCGCAAATTCAAGGTGTGGCTGGGCTTGCAGCGGGGCAAATGGTGATCTGCCGTCGGTGCATGACCGGCTTGCCCAAAGCAGCAGGGGTTTGACAGCGAGGCTCCCAGCCCATGGCCGGCCTGATGGCGCCACCTGCCACCCCATTTCCTTGCTTCCGGGCTCCTTGCTTGCCCCTCCACACGAATCCATGCCAATGTGGCATCACCCTGCCGCTCAGAGAAACCTCCCTCTCCACCTCCCCATACAATCGCACAGGAGCTCCTGTCAGACTCCGCCGCAGAGGTCGAGGTACCTGCCAAGCAGAAGACCGGGTCACACGGGAAGGGCCTGCTTGCCTCCCTGGGGCTGGGCAAGTCGAAGCACAGCAGGCAGTCGTCTGGGTCGGAGTCCGGCTCGAGCACCGTGCCCCTGACGGGGGAGCAGGCACAGGTAAGGGGAGTTTCTCATCGGGGTGAATATTATCTCGAGTGGGGGCCCGGTCGCCTGGCGTGACGACCCATCGGCGCCTGCCTTGCGCGAGCCAGACTCGTAGATTTCCGGCCCCTCCCAACCCCTCGTTCTCCCTTGTTCCTCCCCTCAAACAGACGGCGCACAAGGCTCGCATGCTGTTCGGCGGGACCCATGCCCTGAGCCGACCCCACCCGCCAGCCACCGCTGCGTCGTCGTCCTCGCAGCATGCACAGCGCGGGCACACCCCAGACGCCAGTCCCCAGCGTGGAGGGGTGCCGCGCTCGCCCCCCTCGACCCAGCGGTCGGCGGGGTCCCTGGGCGGGGGCATGGAGCCGGAACCCCTTTCCTCCGCGACGCACTCGGACGAGCACACGGCCGAGGCGCTGCTGGGGACGGGGGGCCAGCCCCAGGGATGGGTGCAGAAAGTCGCCCAGAGGGCCCAGCACGGCGCCGCTCGCCTGCGGGAGTCCATATGAGTGCCAAGTACCTGTTGATCCTTGATATATATGGGATCGTTGCTGTTAACGTCCTTCACGTTCCTTGTTATGTGTGGAGCGCTGTCGTGCATGATGAGCATCATGAGCGGCACCGCACGCTACATCGCTACTCACGTTCATGCTCATGACTGTGAGGATAGCTGTCACATGGAGGGGGGATCAAGATTGCATTGACACTGGCTTGGGCAGAGCGGGTTCCGGCTGTTCATGGGAAACGGATGGTCTTGTGCTGTGGATGCTGAGGGAGGGCTCCAGCGCGCGCGAACCTGACCTTCCCCATGTATTCAAGCGTGCATTCTGCCTACCCGCCAGGGACCCTCGCCTTGAAAAAGGAAAAACAGGTGGTTTGCGGCGTAATCACACCACAGAGCACACCGAGCCCAGGTGCCAGGGCCGCATTGACTCACCGTTAGTGGACAAGGGCATAAGTCGAGTCGGATCGTTCGACATCCCAGCCAGCGGGCGCCAGCGTCCACCGAGGAAGGATCACCTGGCGAGTATCGGCCATAGACGCTGGTTGCTGTAATTAAAGCATTGGAGAGGCTGCAGAGGCAGCCTGCAGAGGGCCGGGACCGGCGCGCGTGGCGGCTTCCCCTGTGAACCAGACACGGCTGCCCGCCCCGTGCTCCCTCCCACGACCCCCTCCAGGGGTCATGATCCTGGAGGCCGTGAAGGTGGGGCGATTTATGATATTCAAGCTGCGCATTGTCCTGATCTTGGGGAGCCTGGCGTGCAACTTGCTTATTTTGTACTTGCTTCTGACCGAGCTTTGGTCCCTCCTCTGCAATTGCAGCGGAAACTGAAGGAGGAGAAGGAGCTGAGGAATGCCCTTGCCGGTGGCCTTGCAGGCAGGTTTTGGGGCTCCATGGATCACTGTATCGGCCCGGGTCCTCGAGCCTTGCTGTAGGAGCCGAGGATGACATTTTAAACCAGGGCCTATGTTGTGCATCCCCGCCCAGCGCAGGGTTGCCTCCACCCACGCGGTGGTCCCCCATCTGATTAAGTGCCATCATGCAAACCCTGCTGACACTATGCTGCACACCCCCGCAGGCGCCATCACGTCCACCGTGGTGTGCCCCTTGGATGTCCTGAAGACGCGGTTGCAGGTGCAGGGCCGGGCGGCCTTTGTCGCCTCACCCTACGGCGGCATCGGAGGTGGGTCGTCCGTGTGCCGAGCGGGTGCTTATCCGCCCCACGTCGCCACTCCCTCCCTCGACCAGGCCAGGCCGCTTTCGGATCCCTCGCTAACGTATTCCTCGCCCTGTCTCCCTTCCCCCGTTCCGGAACCCTCTCTGGGCAATGAACACCCCCCCCCCCCCTCAACTCCCCCCCCCACCTCAACTCCCCCCCCCAAAAAAACTAGGCGGCCTGTCTAAGATCGTGGCCGAGGAGGGTGTGCGCGGGTTGTACCGTGGGCTGGCCCCCACGCTGGTGGCCCTGCTGCCCAACTGGGCAGTCTACTTCACCGCCTACGAGCGGCTCAAGGTGGCCATCGGCGCGCGCGTGGCGCCTGAGCACGCCGCCTCCCCCGGCGTACACATGGCGGCGGCGGCTGGGGCGGGGGCCGCCACCATGCTGCTCACCAACCCGCTGTGGGTGGTGAAGACGCGGCTGCAGACCCAGAACCTGGGCCTGCGCTTTGGGTCGGGGCGCAGCGCGGTGCCCTATCGCGGGCCTGGCTGACGCCATGCTGCGCATCGCGCGCGAGGAGGGCCTGGCGGGCCTCTACTCCGGCCTGGGGCCGAGCCTGCTGGGCGTGGCCCACGTCGTCATCCAGTTCCCGCTGTACGAGGCACTGAAGCAGCACTTTGCGGAGCGGCGGGGCGAGGATGGCCGCATCTCTACGTGAGGGCTTGAGGGGGGTATAGTGTGCGTTTGTGGAGGGGGG